CCAGGATGGGCCAACTAGACAGATTCTAGTCTTAATGAGGTTTTGGTGGATGCATCAATGGCAAAGTAGCCTTTACCAGGGTTTTATGAATGTTGTTTTAAAGTAGTTTTGTATTACTTCATAAATTACTACAAAGCTACAAAAAACAACACTCATAAAACCCTGGTCAAGGCTGTTTTGCCATTGATTCATCCACCAAAACCTTATTAAGACTAGAATCTGTCTAGTTGGTCCACCCTGGAGAAGATTCCGAAAAATGTATTCTCGGAGCTCTTCAAGATTGATTTACTGAAAAATGGTTGTATGACGAACGCATTAAGAACCATTTGAAATCCGTATTTAAGCTACAATAAAAGTTATTTGGTAACAATAAAACCCTTTCTTGAGCCGTTTTCCCTAGCTGCTTGCTAAATCCACTAGAAAAGCATCAATCAAGATAGAAAAAAAATTCTTAATTACCATCCGATCTTATCAAAATAACTTAAATAAAAACTGATCATATAAAAATCCTGTTGAATTACCAAAATTATTTAAATAGTACTCATAAAGTGGCCTAATCTCAGGAGCCATATTAAATCTCATGTGAAATGTACGTGATAACACCGAAAAGAAAAGTTGACCGCCCTCGGAAAAACGTCGGTTTTACTAATTATTTTAAATTTAAGAAAAAACAAAATTATTCTTAAGATCGATCATCCAGCTAAGCCAAGATTTTTTTAAAAGATTTTCGCATTTTATTTATTTGCTTATGTCTAAATTGACCGAAATAAAGTTATATCCAAGGAAATGTAAATTGAAAAACGAAGATTGTGAAAAACCAACAAAATAACTGTAATGTGGTGGAGGCATACAAGTTGATTTTCATGGACCATTTGTGAAAAAATTGTTATGCTTTCAAGAAATCCCTAACAAATTAAAACGGTTTTAAAAAGGCTTTTATGAAGAAAACTTGCAGACTGAATTGTATTTATCTAAAGCCGTTTTGCTTGATCCTAACCCGTTCAGATTTATGCCAGCATTTATGGAGGCAAAGCTGCCGGAAAAAATTAAACGTCAAAGTTTGTTTATCATTCTATAGTTGCGCTGTGCGATCCAGCGTTCTTCCAGACAATGGATTGGAAGCAGTTACTCAGAAAGAGTGCGATACTGTTGTATTATATTTAGCATTAGCTAGTTCACGAAGAAGATCCCCATCTTCCGGATGGTTCCCGAAGTGCACCATCAAACGACACAGGAATGTACGCTGGAATGAAATGTTTGATGAGTTGACCCTTTCGCCGAATAAAATCGCTGCCATGGATCGGAAATCAGCTAATCTCTGCTAACTGGCAGTTTTGTAGTTTGCTGTCGGTACTGATCCAAGTAATTCCGATGGTTTTATGGTTGCTTTTATAATGATAGAACACTTTTATAGAGTATTTGATCAAGACATTAATAAACAATTGCTGATTGAATTACAGAACAGTTTTATGGAGGGATTGAGAAATGTTTAATATTTTTTTTCAAAACCGGGCAATCGTCGACTTTCTCGCCAGGCTATTAAAGGTATTTAAAACAGCGAAAAGCTGAATTACTAAACAGCAACGGTTGAAACTTTGAAATGCTGTATTTAAACTAAATGGATTGTTCATTGCCATTATAAAACCATCATAAATTAGAGTGGATGCCTAATGGTTGCTGAATTGTTACTTGGGTATGCTTCCTACCGATTTGCTGCCTTCGACAAAATTGTTCAGTTTACATAAATATCTTTTATCTTTTGAACGGAGCATCCTAGAAGAAGGTTTCTCCGACAAAGTTGTCCATTTCGTAATGCTGAGAAATGTTATAGAAGATATGATTAACTGAAAGCAAAATGTCAGCCTTCCCACAATAATAATCGCAGAAAAAAGGTATTTTCGACCTTTTTCAGAAATTATTGCCGACTTAATATACAGTGAACTCTCTACAATTCGGAATTGAAGAGATCATCAAGTTATAGAATAACAATTCCATTAGAAATCACCATCGCAGTAGCCATGAAATTATTTTTTACTATGGTTCTATATCTCGATATCGAGCTAGTGGACATCTAGTTGTGGAGAGTTGACTGTATTTTATTCTTGTTTTATATTCAAATTACGTTTCATAAAAAATACCTGTTGTTTTCCATTGAATTATGGTGCAGAAAATATCCAACAAGATTTACACTAGTCACTATAAAAAAAAATATTCCACGCTTTTTGTAATTTTTGTTAAATGATTATGACATCAGCAAATTTGTAGACAAGGGTCGGTAGCTTAGTGGTTACCATTTCTGCTTACTGAGCAGCAGGTCGGGAAATCAAACCCAGGCCCATCCCTTTCCTTGTATTTGTCACTATGCCAATTTATCTATCTCCATTAGAAATAAACAAATATCGATTACTTTTTCTAAGGAACGTACAATCTTTTGTTAACAATGCATTTAATCGTCGATTTGGCATAACTGGTAGCTCGCCCACGCATGCTAACACTATCATTAGATAGGGGAAAATTTCCCCTACCTGATAGTGTTATGAATAGGCGTAAGCGAGCTACCAATTACGCCAAATCGATCATCAAATGCATTGTTTACAAAAGTCCCTTCGAAAAAGTAATCGAGAAATCTGCTTTGCCCCATCGCATCACTTACACCACAGTGAATCCAGATCAAAAATAACCTGACCCACACTAACACAACTTTCCTTCCAATGGTGTAGAGACGCCAAGGTAAACACGCTCTTTATAACAACGGTTGTCATACTAATCATCCTGCCCCTTCCCAAAAGATCGTGTGGGCGTGGCCAGCACCAAAGCTGTTGTTTTTTTTTTTGACAAACTAATCCCAAGTGCCATCTATGTGGTTCTCTCTGTAATTTCTCTTGTTCTGATCAGAAACGGAACAGCAACTACGATATCCACGGTCTTTTTTAATGCAAATATAATTAAATAAAATGGATGTGACATTAGAAAATTTGAATCCTGATGAATGTAGGCGTCTTAGTGGAATACCTGTATAAAGAGAGAGAGAAAGATTATTAATTTCCATTTAATTCCACTACCTTAATATGTCAAGGATAAGCAAATAAGGTAGTGGAATTAAATGGAAATTACTAATCTTTCTCTCTCTCTTTATAATTAGAAAATTTACCAGTTATGTAAGTTGTAGCATTTTATTAATTCCTTTCATAAAAACTCTCACTCCCGAGCAGTGCTAAGATTTGTCATTGTCATTGACAGACTTTCGCACGATATTGACAAAATTGTTTTTCACAGAGTAACTGACAGACTTGATCCTCAAAAAAATGTTCGTCAAAATCATTTTTATTTTTTCGTCAATGACAAAGCTTCACCGGGTAACAAGTGTAATTTCGTGCATTCTGTGTCACATTATTGTTATCCAAGCAGTTCAGGACGTAGATGCTTGTTTACTTTAACGGTTCCATGTAACTGTGTTGCCCAAGTCATTTAATTTCGTTACAAATTTAGTTAACAAAAAAATCAACACATGTTCGTCACGGACAGCATTGTCACTGAAAATTGACATGGTTTGCTTTGACTATGACTGTTAGCTCAAATGAGTGACCAAAGCAGATCAAGATCAAGATTTTGCAGCACTGCTCCTGAGAGCTATTTCTGTAAATCTCAGGTTTGTAATACACTTGTTAACATTTCTCAGCATTATGAAATGCACAATTTAGCCGAATAAACCATCCTTCTATGACGCTCCATTTAAAAATCATGAATGGTTGGTTCCTTGTAAACCAAGCAAATTTTGTGGAAACTGGAAATCTGCACGGACGGTGAGATCGACTCAAAATTGAGTTCAATTCGACTCAATTTTGCAAAAAGTTGATTTCGAGAAGTTTTTCCTGAAAAAGCTCGAAAAATGTTACTCACTTTGTGAGCAAGACCACTTTTTTGCATGGCACTAGAGGTTTTGACCACGCTACCGACCTCACTGTCCCGCTGTGCCTCATCAACGTCGTTAGCCTACGGACGCAGATTTCACCCACTCAGCCAACCGAACCGATTCCTACTTCTGCATCCATTTGCAGGCTAGAGCAAACGATTCGAACTCTCAGCCCTTCCGAGTCGACGAGCACTGTGGAATCATATCTCTTATTACCGATTTCGCTCTCGTTCCGCTGCAAAACACACCCCCCTACCCCGTTCACTGCAACCTAACCCCCTCCACCCCCTTTAAATCCAAACGAATCGAAATGTTACACCAAACAGTCGCAACAAAATCCATCAAAAACGGCAAACCGACTTTGGCATAACCCAGCAGCAGCTACAAAAAATCTGCTGAGCTTCGAACTCTGAAATGAACTCCGCGCTCGCTATGCTTGACTGCTGAGTTGTAAATAAATGTATAGGCGGGTAGGTATGCATTTCGCTCCACTACTCCTTCAATCAACCCCCCGGTCGATCATCGGACTCCTCGCGCTGGGCCTGAGTGCAGCCGAATAAATTACAGTCTCGCTAGTTTTTGTTTGAATTTTAATCGGAAAGGAATTAAGTCGTTCGGTGCTCCCACAACGGCAGCTATCAAGCCCGGTCGGTACACCTAAATACTTCTTGGTGTAATAAATCTCCTTCTCACGATTGTGTGTTCTCCCGGCCGCGTCCATACTTATCCCCTTAAATGTTTCGTTTAATCTTTTCACCTCCGCAATCAAGAGTTGATGTTTCTGTTGCTGTTGTAGTTGGTGGCACAATAGAAGCTCAATGTTGCAGGTCAGTTTTCATTTCGATCACTATACTTTTATCGGGTGTTGCTTTTATTGCGCCAATAAAACATCTAGCCGACACCTGCAATTATATGTGCTGCAATCGTACCCTTTTCGAAACCACGTGCTTTACTGCTGCAATAGTTAATGCTTGATTGTTATTCCATGATTTTTTTTTTTCCTGCCAAGCACCCTCAGTATGAAGAAGAAACAAAACCCAGTAGCCCCATAATGACGATTTCCTTTTTCTCACATCTTATTTTCCAGGGTATGCCAGAGCAATGGGCGCTTATGCTGAAGAATTCCAACATTAGCAAACAGGAACAGAAGAAGAACCCGCAGGCAGTGCTGGACGTGCTCAATTGGTTCGACAACAGTAGCAAACAGCGACCCAGTTCCAAGTATATGACCCATGGTTTGCACACCACAACGCACTCCGGTAAGTTTGAATTTGATGATTTCTTTCCGGGTTTGGATACCATTTCCTGTTCAAGAATCCTCAGTACCGATCCCGTCCTGAAACATTCCTTATAGGTCAATACATATGCATGTAGCAGAGGGCCCCAAAGGGCATCATTTGTATCAGGAAAACGCGCTAACTATTTTTCGGAACAATTGATTGCGATAAAAACGACGATTAATACGAAAGTTTTAATCTAAGAACCACCTATATTGTGAGATCTTACCCTTGTTACTGAATCAAATGTTGAGTCACTTCCCCGGAACATGTCCAGGTGTTGGTCCAAATCGTCAATTTATCGGGGGGAATATTTATTCCGTTTCTTTTTATTTTAGGGTGTTGGTGTCTTCGTAGAAGCTGTTTGTAATTAAATCATCCTTCATTTTATGAAAATTTTGCTTAGGGTGGTCATAATTTAAATTAAAATCATGAATCAACCTTTATTGTTTTAAGTTATAGATGGTTACATTCTTGGGCAAAGTCGTAGAAACAATTATTTCAAGCCACTATGCTCTTTATTTGACCATAGAGCTTATTTTCTTCTTATAATTGGTGTGCCCCTAAAAAGATTTTATAATAAAATTATTCAATCTTTTATTGCTTCAAATGTTTTAAATAAATGCAGGCAACAGGCACGAATTTTGTGAATGTCACGGATTTGTCGCGAATTTGAACTTACAGTCGTGAAAATCGCGGAAACATGAAATGATTTCGCGGAAATCCCGAAGGGATTGATATGCTTTTAATTTATCCCGGTTTTCATTTTATCGTGTATTATGTACAAAGCAGTGATGCCAACATTTCAGTCTAAACTGGGTTCTTCCAGCTTTTTGGGCACATCATGTCAAACAGTTAATGTTTGAAATCGTCCAGTTTTTTGAGAATTCATCCAGTTTTCCATTATTAATATCAACGTTTTAAAAGTATGATTAACAGTACAGAATGATGGAATTGAAATCTGGAAATGCATTATTTAATGTACCTAGAACTCCCAAGAAGTTCCCAAAAACTGCCAAGAAAATTCCAAGAAGGTCCCAAGAAATTCTCAAGAACTTCCCAAGATCTTCCCAAAAAATCCCAAGAACTTCCCAAGAAGTTCCAAGTTCTTCCCGTGAAGTTCCAATAGTTTTCCAGAACTTCCCAAGAACTTTCAAGAACTTCCCAAGAAGTTTCAAGAACATCCCAAGAAGTTCCAACAACTTCCCATGTACTTCCCAAGAACTTCCAAGAACTCCCAAGAACCTCCAAGAACTTCCCAAGAACTTCCAACAACTTCCAAGAACTTCAAAGAACTTCCCAAGAAGTTCCAAGAAGTTCCAAGAACTTCCCAAGAAGTTTCAAGAACTTTCCAAGAAGTTTCAAGAACTTCCCAAGAAGTTCTAAACACTTCCCAAGAAGTTCTAAACACTTCCCAAGAAGTTCCCAAGAACTTCCCAAGAAGTTCCCAAGAACTTCCCAAGAAGTTCCAAGAACTTCCCAAGAAGTTCCAAGAAGTTCCAAGAACTTCCCAAGAAGTTCCAAGAACTTCCCAAGAAGTTCCAAGAACTTCCCAAGAAGTTCCAAGAACTTCCCAAGAAGTTCCAAGAACTTCCCAAGAAGTTCCAAGAACTTCCCAAGAAGTTCCAAGAACTTCCCAAGAAGTTCCAAGAACTTCCCAAGAAGTTCCAAGAACTTCCCAAGAAGTTCCAAGAACTTCCCAAGAAGTTCCAAGAACTTCCCAAGAAGTTCCAAGAACTTCCCAAGAAGTTCCAAGAACTTCCCAAGAAGTTCCAAGAACTTCCCAAGAAGTTCCAAGAACTTCCCAAGAAGTTCCAAGAACTTCCCAAGAAGTTCCAAGAACTTCCCAAGAAGTTCCAAGAACTTCCCAAGAAGTTCCAAGAACTTCCCAAGAAGTTCCAAGAACTTCCCAAGAAGTTCCAAGAACTTCCCAAGAAGTTCCAAGAACTTCCCAAGAAGTTCCAAGAACTTCCCAAGAAGTTCCAAGAACTTCCCAAGAAGTTCCAAGAACTTCCCAAGAAGTTCCAAGAACTTCCCAAGAAGTTCCAAGAACTTCCCAAGAAGTTCCAAGAACTTCCCAAGAAGTTCCAAGAACTTCCCAAGAAGTTCCAAGAACTTCCCAAGAAGTTCCAAGAACTTCCCAAGAAGTTCCAAGAACTTCCCAAGAAGTTCCAAGAACTTCCCAAGAAGTTCCAAGAACTTCCCAAGAAGTTCCAAGAACTTCCCAAGAAGTTCCAAGAACTTCCCAAGAAGTTCCAAGAACTTCCCAAGAAGTTCCAAGAACTTCCCAAGAAGTTCCAAGAACTTCCCAAGAAGTTCCAAGAACTTCCCAAGAAGTTCCAAGAACTTCCCAAGAAGTTCCAAGAACTTCCCAAGAAGTTCCAAGAACTTCCCAAGAAGTTCCAAGAACTTCCCAAGAAGTTCCAAGAACTTCCCAAGAAGTTCCAAGAACTTCCCAAGAAGTTCGAAGAACTTCCCAAGAAGTTCGAAGAACTTCCCAAGAAGTTCGAAGAACTTCCCAAGAAGTTCCAAGAACTTCCCAAGAAGTTCCAAGAACTTCCCAAGAAGTTAAAAGAATGAAGTCTCAGCTATTTTAGTAATTTCAAGTTCACAACCGTAAATTTCAAAGCTAGGCATTTCAAATATTTTTGCTAGTTTTGGATCTTGAAAATTCCTCACATGCCCAAATATTCTCCCTAATCCTCCCTCCAAGTCAGGATTATTTAATTTTAAATAAAACACCCTTGACGGTTTTTTTTTTTAATTCAGGATCATATAATTTTCTAAGCATGAAATCTTTAAAAAAAATCTAAACCTCAGGATTGTTTTTCCCAAACCTTGGATCTTGATCCTTTTTCTGTTTCCAGGATCTTGAGTTGTTTTATGGAAAAATTTAATTCTCTTATAAATTCCTCCATAATACTTTTGAAAATCTTTTGCAGAACACTATCTGAATTCACTCCGCAATGCTATTCATATTATTAATAATTCTAGCAATTCCCCAAATAATACTCCTGAAAAAAACTGGAGTATTCTTCTGAAATTACAATGGAATTACCATAGGAATTCCTTTTTAGTTCTACTCATCATCCCCATTAATTCTGTGTAATGCTCCTCCCAATTTCCTTGGAACTCTATTTTGATATTTTTTTTTTAATTATCACCGGCATATCTTTGGAATACTCCTCAGGATTCCTGAGAAATTTTCCTTAAAACTCTTTTGGAATACTCCTAAGAAGATTTATTTTCAGTATTGTTGTTCTCGAAAATTAAAACATTCAATTAAATTGATTGTATGGTAATTCGTTCGATGCACCCTATTATTTTATTGAGGTTTGGATGTTAATCATCAAGTTCATTTGCATTTCAAATTAAAATGCATTCATATTTTGTAAATAAATGTTTCAGAAAAGCAAGGCGCTTTTATGAAATAGTATCTCATAATGTTAGGGTGTTTTATTATGATCACTAAATACTCAGAATTTAACCTACCAGGAACATAAATTACTGAAAATGACACATTGTTTTTTTTTTGCGATACTCTATTTGGCTCCCTTGTGTGTTTTTTATACATCGGTATTTTGTCAAGCAGTTTCTTGGTTACTTTTGACATTTATTGATTTTTATGAATGTCTACTTTTCTTAATGTTCTAGACAAGAAAAAAAAACAAATATATTTATATTATATCGAAATTTAATCAATAGCATAATAAGACGCCTTCAGGCTCTACCAATTGTCCAAGAGGTCAAAGATTTTTCTTTAACCTCAGGCAACTTCGTAAAACTTCAAGGACTTAAAAAAAGTTCAGGGAACATCGTAGAAATTAACGAATCTTAGTAGAAATTCAAGGAACTTAGCTTCAGTAAAATTCGTAGAAACTCAGGAAACTTTGGAAAAGTTCAGAAAACTGCGTAGAAGTGGGAACTCTATTTATGTTATGGGATTTTCGTAGAAGTTAAACATTATTTAATTTCAGTGAACCACATTTTCGTTCGGAGATCTTCATATGATTTCAGGATACTATTTTTAAGCTTCATGAGCTTGGAATAGTTCAGGGAATTACGTACAAGTTCAAGAAGTTCCATACGTGGAACTTCGTGGAAAATCAACGAGAAACGTAGAAGTGTAGCAAACTTTGTAGAAGTTTTGGGAATTTCGTTGCATTTTGAGAAGCTCCATAAAACTTCATATAAGTATAGGGAATTTCGTTGAAGATCTAAAAATTGTTAAGCAAACTTCTAAAATTTTCAGGGATCCTCGCCTCGTTTTAGGGAGCTTTGTTGCAGTTTGTCAAAAAAGCTCAATGAACTTTTTGGAAGTTTAGGGCGCTTCTGTAAATTTTAAGGAACTTTCCAGATGTTCAAGAATATTTGTAAGGTCTGTATCCACATTAATCCAGACACCTTCAAATCACTGTAACTTTTGAAATATTGCACGTAGGAGTGAAACATTTCGCTGAGCAGTTGGGAGTCATTGATGAAAAAGACTATGATTGGTGTTTACGTTCCATGTTTAGTGTTCAAGGTGACGACGAATGAAAAACACGTACGCGAGCGGATTTTGAACGGACCTAATGCAAATCCTGACTTGTCAATACGAGAACTTGCAAAAAAATTAGATTTACCTAAATCCACTATACACGGTGTGCTCAAACCATTTTCGGATCGTTTTACGGTCGAGAGAAAACCGAGAAGTGATGAAAACATTGGACGTGCCAATCCTGTCATGAACCAAAAGGTAGTAGCATTTATGTGTGACTAAATTCACAGCTTTTAATTTAACATTCCAAATGGGTCATAGCAGATGATTTTCTGTAGAAAACAAAAATAAAAGTTTAGTAGTTTCAACATGATTAAAAGTTTTGAGAGATATTTATAATTGCCTAAACTCGACAAAACCCCAAACTTACACTATACAGCACAATATGAAACAAATTCTATGCGGCTCTGCATGGGTCAGATTTTGGCAATAAATAAATTTT